ATTATTTGGTTATTTATGAAGGTTTTATGTGAACCCTTTTTACCATTGTTGAATACGTTATTCATTAGTTAATTACAAGATTTATTTATATATGTGTTGGGGTAGTAAGGGTGTCACACATATTGTTATTGCTAACATGTGTATTAGTGTTTCAGATAAATAACAATAAGTTCTGGAAAAATGAAGGACAAGTATGTTCAAGCATAATCGAGTTGGACAAGACATCAGACGATGGCAAAATTTAGTATCAAGACTAAAAGTTGATCCAGGCCTAAATCAAATAAAGGATAAGACGAATCTATCAGCTAAAGCCTGAGGAATCAAATGTAAGATCGAAACAAGCGTTGTATGAGACTAAGTCAAGCACGACGAAAGTTGGCCAAACACCAACATGAAGTGGAAAAATTATCAGATAAAGCCTAATGAACTAGAAGACAAAGTTATCACTCTCATAACCAAACGTAAGGGTAGTCAAGATCAGACGAAGTATCATATATCCAAGCGCATTTAAAAATGTTGAAGCACGTCTGATGTCCACTAATCACAATTGAGTGAAATCATACAAGAAACACCAAAGTACATCAAACCGGAATACAGAAAAGAAGAAAAATAGGCAAGCGTGGAGTTACAAGTCAAAGTTACGTATGTCAGAGAAAGGACACCTACTTTTTAGAGATAGACAGCATCGTAGCAGCTAAATTGATGAGACAAGTACAAATATGCCTAGAGTATGATTGAAGTCAGACATTGGAGTAATCAACTACACAAAAGGACTTCATGTATACTAGTAAACATTTAATGCAAGATCAAATGCATTAAATGAAGAGATTCACATAGCCATGAACAAGCCTCCATCTGCAATGACATGAAGCTACGCTCCAACGGGAAAATTTGGATTCAAACAACGGACAAATTTACTAAATGGCTATAAGTATCAAGGCAAAGAAGAAGAAGTAGAATTGAGGAGTAGAGAAAACGTGCAATAAGAAAAAGAAAGCGAAAGAGTATAAGCTACATTTTCTTCTCAAAGCATTACATGTATATCTGTGTAAAAACTAAGATAACTTATCTTAGTAAGTGTTGTTAATAGTCTATCCTCTCTACGAGAGTAAACAAACACTTAGACACTTATTCCTGTGAAACTAAGGTTACACACCTTAATGAGTGTAGAAACTACCCTATCCTCTCTGTGAGAGTTGCAAACACACTTAACATCTTTATTTGTTGTAAAGCCTGAACAGGCTGATAGAAAGAATACTTGTGAACCAGAAGTGGTTGAGAATACTAGTGCTAGTAAGTAAAGCTAGCGGGCTAGAAGTGGTCAAGAATACTTGGAGAACCAGAAGTGGTTAAGAATACTAGCGTCGACAAGTGAAGTTGACGAGCCAGAAGTCGTTGAGAATACTTGTAATCCTTTGTGATTAGTGGAACCCTTCAATTGAAGGAGACTGGACGTAACTTAGATTAAGTGAACTAGTATAAACAGTTGTGCATTTTTTTTCACTACTCACTTCGTTTTCATCCATTTTCTTTTCAACAAACTGTTAGACAAAAACACAATTGCTTATCTTGTTTGAGAAAAAATTCCTTTTTGGACGATAAAACCTTTCAGACGGAAAACAAATTCACTCAACTTGTTTCTTGAAGTAGACGATCAGTTCTGTTAGACAAATTTTTAGTCAAACAAGCCTGCACAAGTTTTTAACTGTGATTGAACACTCTATTCATTAAAAAATATTGTTGCAAAGCAACTTTGAAAAATCTACCTTCAAAACACACACACACACATTCAACCCCTCCTTCTGTGTGTATTTCCGCCAACTTCAGTTGGTATCAGAGCTTGACCCCTTGGATTGAGCATCTAACACTACAAGGGTAACGATCATGGAAAATGAAGGACAAGCCCTGAACCACCCATCCCTCTTCAGGGGGGCAAAATATGACTACTGGAAATAAAGAATGATTGCATTCTTTGATGCTTGTCATACAGACATGTGGGACGTTGTTGAACAAGGAAACTACATTCCACTAGATCAAGCTGGCAACGAGATACCCAAAGCACAATAGAGTGAAGAGCAAAAGCAATGATTTGTGCTGAACCCCATCAGGTCCTGGGCTTTTGTCACCGTCACTCTCCCTAAATAAACAACACACCTCCTCCTTAATAAAGTCACCAACCAACCTTGCGTTTTGTTCATTAGACAACACCGGGAAACCAACAACTGACAATCGTGGTCTAAGCCAACTTCTTGCTTTGAAGTGCTCCTCAAAATATGACCTCACTACTTCTTTAATCTCATAGACCTCCTCTACCATACGCTCACCCATCTTCAAAGCTATAATTTGGTTACGTCGCTGTCTTCCCCTGATACAAGCATGAAAGTATTTGGAATTTAAATCACCATATTTCCCCCAACGAATTCGCGCCTTTTGAGCTAGCAAGGTTAGTTTGTTCCTCCGAGCACACCAAATCCCATCTACTAACTCCTTTTGCCTATTCCTTTCTGATTCTACAAGACGTATTCCTCATTCTTGGCATCCAGCTCCTTTAATTCATTAGTCAAGCTTTTTATCGTGGTATCCACATTACCAAACACCTCAATATTCCATTTCTTTAGAGCATTTTTAACATTCAAGAGCTTTACTCGTATTCTTTGGGCAGCCCACGGACCTTGGACCTGTTTCTCCCATGCAGCCCTCACCACACCCTCAATACCACAATGGGAAAGCCAACAATTATTAAAGCGAAACGGTTTAGGACCCCAATTTAGCACCTTATGATTCAAAATCAATGGAAAATGATCAGATACATCACGCGGAATCACCTCCACAAATCCTACACCCCAGTGAGCACTCCATCTTTCTGAGATCAACACCCTATCCAACCTGCTCATCATAGAACCATCACTCCTAAACCAAGTAAATCGCTTCCCAACCAGTGGTACATCAATCAACTCCATATCTCTTATAAACGAATTAAATTCCTCCATATCCCATGCACCGTAGTCACCAATCCCCCCTTTTCTCTCATTTAGTCTTCTCACCGTGTTGAAATCCCCCACTATACACCATAAACAACTCCCAAAACCACGCATAGACATAATTATGTCTTCCCACAACCGCCGCTTATCCGCTAGCTGACAGGGAGAATATACATTGACCACCACACATCTATACGCATCCACACCCCATTGCAAGCAAACACCATGACAACCAGTACCAGAAAACGTGAACACCAATTTACCTCGATTAGAGTTCCAAATTGAAAGTAGACCTCCACTCCTGCCTTGAGAAGGAGAAGCAAACCACTCGAACTCTGTAGATCCCCATAATTGCGCACAAAGGGTACTATCGCACATCTCCAATTTAGACTCCTGTATGGCAATAAAATCTAGCCCCTCTAATCGAATAAGCTCCGATATACGACGCCTTTTCACATCACCCCCTAATCCACGACAATTGAATGTACCAACTTTCATTGCATATCTAAGGATCCCCTAATACCAACCGCCACCATACGATCCCTCTGCTCCATGGACATAAGCTTCTGTCGCACCTCGTCTTCATTCCAAGACTCTTGCAAATAGAGAGAATACGATCGGCCATGGCTCCGTCACAACACCGTTCTACATTCGCATCTGAATTGACACTGTTAATATCATTTGACTGGACCACCGTAGATTTCCCACCACCTACACCAGTCACCGCAGCAGCCAAAGAACCTTCCGTCAATGATACTGAATCGTGAGGTGCTCCTTGGATCTGCATTTTATTTCTAGCTATTTTTAGTGCATTTCTCACATTATTTCTTATAGTAGGCTCATCACATTTGGCTTGAAGGGAGTCTCTGTTAAGCCCAAGAAGGTCATTCTGGGATTCAGACTCCAATTCCTTATCTAGCGATGCACACCATCCAGACTTATGTCCTCCATTTTTTTATTAACACCACCAGAAGTCACCACATTTGTAACCTCCACTTCCACCTCTGTTCGCTCCCTTCCCTCATCACACTCCACACCACCCCCTCTACTAAACACACCTTCCTTTTCACCAATCACCCTGCTCCTATTGGTAATCAAACCACCATCATCAACCAATGCCACGTATTGATCAGCGCCTACCTCCCTCATCGGGCTCACCATATCATTCTGCGTATTCCCCACTGCCCCATTTTGAATATTCTTAGTAACTTTGTTTCCAACCCCTTCAATTACATTAACACCTTTCATACCCAAATCTGTACTTTTAGCAACTTCCATAGCAGATTCTTTTACCCCTTCCACTATCTGTTCCACCCTTTTCGTAACCCCCTCAATGCAATTCCCACCACTATCATCATTGACAATCCCCTGTGAGACCTCACTACTACTACTACGTTCTTTGGCCTTCGTCTCTAGTGGCCCTTCCTCCACACCTCTATCCTCCTCAGAGGAATAATTTTCCACATCCTCCAAATCAAGTGACTGATCCACGGAGACATCCTCAAAGGTGCTATCATCACTGACCCATTCTCTTGTCAAAAATTGTCCTCCATGTTCCTCCACCAAACGCACTGAAAAGCATAAATCATTCACCAACACCCGTGATTCCTCATTGATCAACGCCTTGTACGTCGTACTCACTTGAATTCGGGCATAATCAAGACGCCTTCTCTGTCGTGTATCCTCATCTACTTGGACGAAATCCCCCATTGAAGATACCATTTTAATGAAAAATTTCTCTGACCATGCATGAAGGGGAATGCCATAGCAACGTACCCATGTCTGACGTTGTACACAGACCATCCTCGGATGCCATTCAACTAACTCATAAAACCACCTCTCCCAGAGCTTTTTATTCAGTGCCACTGTATCCTCAAGATTAACACCAGCATCCGATTCCACCAGAACCATATCATCACCCATCGTTGCCACCTTGATATCCAGGAGACCCTCTTGTAGTAAATCTTAACGTATCGTAGCCAACTGGATATGACGATGACGCCGACCCACCAAAGATCGCTAACATTCCTCAATTACCTCATCATCAACCGAGAAATGAAGATGAGCCCAAGGCTCCTTTTTCCGCACCCACTCTTTACCCCCCGTAGCTGATACCATCGTATTTCCCTTCGAATCCTTAGCGTTGAACCTCGTCGTTCCTTTTAATTTATCCGCATATGAGACACCATGGTTACGCATTACCCTGCCAGAGACACCTTGCCTATCCAGTTGCACCCGAGTGACAACATGACTGTTGCTCCTCACCATCCGAGAGTGACGAGTAAGGTTGACCTTTAACCTCCGTGCTCCAATGACAATAGAGTTGAGACTCCTTTCCAAACCCTCCACATCGCAGACACCAGAGAATCGTACGAACCCAAACCTTCGTCCCTGGTTGTCCCGTTTTTTGGGGATAAACACATCTACTACCTTTCCCCATTTTTGGAAAATTTTCCATAGCACCGAGATCTCTTGATTCTCCGCCACATTAGTGAAGAAGAAAGACGTAGAGTTATTCAAAATTTGTCTCAGGTGTCCTCCAAAGCCTTCTTGAGTACCACCCATTCCCCCTTTTGAAACCCTGAGAAGAAGAAGAAATAGAGGAAGAGGAGAGTTTACTTACCGAGAAAACAGAACACAGATGGCTACAAGACCGTCCACGTAGAGGGCAGTGGAACGGTGGCCATCAGGACGACGCGAGGTGCTGCCAGTTTTTAAGACGATGTCGTGACCTTCTCAAGCTCGCGCTGAGTGCAGAGTGAGGTGATCGTAATGCAGACAGCGGGTAACAGAGGGCTTCCAACTCAGAAGGGCTTGAGCGGAGGTCGCTTGTGCAAGGTCGACGCGAACAGGAAGGGGCTTGGCTACCGTTAACAGCAATGGGCCGACGGCTTTGTAGGGTTTGTGTCTCTCACCGACGGCCAGCGACGGACCACCACCACCCCCGTCGATGTGGAGACCCGAGGAGATGTTTTGGGCAAGATTCGTGATGGTGAAAAGGCACCGTCTGGTTTGGGTGAGTCACCGATGAAAAATCGAAACTTTCGAAGGAGGGTTTGGGTAATGATGCTTCAGGAGTGCAACCATGGGCGTGGAACAAAGGCGGCGTCTCTATCTCATATTCTCTTTCTCTTTTTGTTTATTTCTCATTTATTTGTTCTTCTTTCTTTCTCAAATTTTCTCCTATTTTTTATCTATCAATTTTTTTGTTACATTTTTATCCATCAATATTGATGTATAATTTATCAACCAGATAACTGAGGATCATCTTACTAATTTTCACCACCTCAGGAATGTGGTCCACTATTCAATCTCATTTTAAGTTTGGAAGTTCTCATTGAAAAATCAAGTTGTCATAAGAGAAGTAGATTCAAGTGTCGAGGGAGTTATAATTCAATTGGTAATAACAATCATGTCAAAGTTCTAGATACTTTTCTATTGATATTGAGATTATTATTGTCAATTTTGAAAAAGAAAACTAACATATTGAAAAAAAAGAGAAAAAGACATGGATAAAAGAGAAAAAAAATAGAAAGAAAGAGAAAATAATAATATTTAGGATGTTATAAAAGAGATTCTAAATTTGGATAACAAAACTTGATACTAAAGCAAACAATGATATTTTCTTTAAGATGTCACTAAAAGAACATTCATCTTAGATAAACTTCAAGTTAGGATGATTAATACTTTGTCAAACTATATTTTTTTAACTGTCATTTTGATTGTATTTTGGTTGAAATATTTGATTTATATTTTGGTAGAACTATAATGGTTGAACTTTAATAATATATAAAAGGAATTTTGATTGCATCAGACTATCATAGCTATTGATGATACTCGTATTTTTACAATGGTGAGAGGACAAGATGTAAGCAAATATTGTAATTGTCATAAAAAGATATCACAAAATATATTAATAGTTTATAACTTTGATCTTGAATTCATTTGTTCTTAACGGGTGAGGGTTTAACTCATGATTCCAAGTTATTAATTTAACCAAAATTTAATTAAATAAAAATAGTATGAAAAAAAATAAATAAGGGAAATTTATGAAATAGGTCATTATTAATATATTTTTATTAATAACAATGAATTGTGGATGAATATAAATATATTTTTAAAATGTGAAAAATGTTGGTTTTTGTTGTAGTACAGATTGTGTTTCCCCTTCCTCCATTTTCGTATTTATTAATCCATGAAAAATTTTGGAAAAATAATATTAACTTTTTTCTTTTTACTCTCTTGATAGTATCAAATAACATATTCTATTAGATATTTTCAAATTAATAAAATGTTGCATCTATTTATAAAAGCATATTTTTCATAAAATATAAAATATAAAAAATCTATTGTTTTTCCTTAAAAGGGCATGTTTTCTTAAAAAGAAAAAAACTTATTACTAAAGCATAAGATGATATATGACCATGAATGATTATGACTCTTTATATATGGGGTTGTTTCTCTTTCACTATAAAAAATTTATGATTTTTTTAGCAATCATAATTTTAGTACAAAAAATTCACCATCATATATAATATGACTAATTTTTATCAAAAATTGTGAATATATACAAAGTATTTTTTTATTTTAATATAATTTATTTTATATTCAATATATAAGAATTTAAAGCCTGTACAACTTCTCATCTTAAAAGGTTTAACATAATCTATAATCATAAATGAGTACGATTATATATGAATGATTATTTCTATATACAAGTAATATATTTTTATTTTAAAAATATATATTATCTATCTATAGAACCAATACACATGCAGAAAAAGTAACAGAATTAATTGAGTTTTTGCATCCAAATCACTTTTAGTATGTTTGGAGAATTGTTGGCATGCCCCTAAACGCCCATTCAACGTCAATGATACAATTTCTCTATCTTCATATTTCATGATTTGGAGTGTGATTATTTGTCTGCATCCAAATAGATTTTCAAACATGTTCTTCCCAAACTATTATTTAATTTATATTCTGTTATTTTAATTCATTTTAAATTTTCCCTGTCAATTTGTCTTCAAAATTTTTATTCTTTTTCTTCGAGTGTAGCCCACCACAAAACTTCATCAACATCCAGCAGCCCAAATTGACAAATTGAGTCCAAAATCTGTCAAGTCTTCGTTAAAAGCTTTGTCTTAATATTTATTGAATATTTTCAGAATTTTAGAGCATTTAATGTCATTTAAATTGTATTAAATCACAAAGTTGATTTCTGGTGGGAGAAAAGTTTTTTCATACCATAATTCCTTAGAACAATTAAAATATATTTTTCTTTTATATCATGGTATTGACAGGATTATCTACTAATTTCACCAGAAACTAATCTTTCTGGAGAACTTGACTGCATTAAGGTTGTCCCTTTTAGGTTCGTTATTTTATCAAACCCAAGACTCAAATCTCAGATCTTAAAACTTGAGGACCAACCACAACAGTTGAGCCAACAAATGTTGATAACTAAAATTTGTTTAATTGCTCATAAAAGTTCTTGAGAATATGCATACAAAATTTTTGAGAATTAAAAATTTTTATATTTGGTTACAATAATATAGAGAAATTCTATGGTACCCATCTTATTTGAGAGGGTACCGGTACAGTTTTTTTAATATTTTATGTATTTAATAATTTATTTGAATAATATTTATGATATTTTTTTTTTATTTTTAAATTATTTAGTCATTTTATTTTTATTTTATATATTTAAATAGTTTTTTAATAATTTTTTATTTTTACTATTTATTAATTTTTTTCTTTTTTTAATATTTTATAATATTATTGAAATCTTATAATTTTAATCTTTATAATTTTATCTTACTTTTTATTTTATAAGTATAATTTGGATTATTCATTTTATAATTAAATTATTTTTTTAAGAATCTTTTATAGATTTATATAGAAAAATGTATTGAAACCCCTCGATTTTTGAGGGTACCGTAGCAACTCCCTATATATTATTGAGTATATAAATATTTCTTACAAAAATATCCTTTATAAAAATAATCTCATTAAATATATTTATTTACTCAAATCTTATTATAAATATGACATTAAACTATTTTTAAAAAGTGAAAACTTATAGTTAAAATTATTTAAATGTAGAATTCAATAAAAGAAATAAATAAAGAAAATTCTACATAATAAAAAAGTATATTATTCCATTTCATTCAATTAAAAAATATTAGCAAATATCATTAAACTGTAAAATCAAAATAAAGTTTAATAATATTATTAAAATTGACAAGGTTAAGAAATAATAATATATAGGAAAGAAAGACAGAGAGAAAGAGAGAAAAATAAAGATATGGGAGGGAGAGAGAGTGGGAGAGAAGGAGAAGAAGAAAGGGGGAGTGAGAGTGAAAGTGGCAAAGAAAGACAAAGAGAGGTTGAAAGATAAATAGAAGGAGAGAGAGAGCAGAGGGGAAGAGGAAGATAGGGGGAGTGAGAATGAGATAGATAGATAGATAAATAGATAGAGAGAGAGAGAGAGAAAGAGAAATAAAAGGAGAAAGGAGAGAGAAAGTTATTTCAAACTCATGAGCAAGAGCGAGAAAACGCTAATGCTTGGAGGACTAGTATAGCTATGGATATGTGGGTGAATGTTATTTTAGAGGATAATAATAATAATAATAATAATAATAATAATTATTATTATTATTATTATTATTTATTTAGACATTGTTGTTTTTTATTATTTTTGTCTTTAACTCTTTTTAAATTTGAATTTATGAAATTTTTTTTGAAATTTTATCATATGTCAAAAATCCACAAAAATTCTACAAAATTCAAAAAGTCCCGTAAAATCCATTAAAGTCCTTATTTAAAAGTCTTATAGAATATATTAAAATCCTGATTAAAAGTCTTGCAGAATCCTTCAAAGTCTTAAAAGTCATGAAAATCATGCAAAGTCTTTTAAAATCTGCAGGATTTTTTTTAAGTAAAAAAGTCCTAAGAGAAGGAGAGTGAGATTGGAATTTGGATCCTCTCTTGCAATCCTCTCTCCAGTCTCTCTCTAGCAACAATAATAATCATTAGATATATCTAATGGCTCAAATTCAATCTTATAAAAATCATTAAGAAATTACATTAATTATAATATTATTTAAGAAATCATATTAATTTTGTAATAATGTTTTTGGCTATACAATAAACAAAATTATTTAAGAAATATATAAAAATTATATTGATAATAGTTAACATTTATTTTAAATTTTTAAGTTATATTGATCCAAATTAATCTAATAGCTCAACTTTAATCTTATAAAAATTTAAAATAAATGTTAATTATTATCAATATAATTGTATATATTTCTTAAATAATTTTAATTATTACACAGCTAAAAATATTATTAAAAAATTAATGTGATTTCTTAAATAATATTATAATAATTTTGATTAATTTTGTAATATAATTAATGTAATTTCTTAAATGATTTTTATAAGATTAAATTTGAGGCATTAGATATAGAGTTAATCATCCATACATTGTCAATGTAAAATTTTTTACACTGTCAGTGTATAGGTGATTAACTCTTAGATATATCCAATGATTATTATTGTTG